GCGTTAGTGAAGATCACAAACAAAACATTTTGATAAGTATGGTAGATAATCCTCATAATACTTCACAATTGGTTGCATTAAACAATGAAATTAGTCAGACCACAGTGCTACGTATCCTGAGGCAGGAAAAATATCATCCCTACAAAATTCAACTTGTGCAGGAACTCAATGAAGACTATCCCGACCACCGCTTACACTTTTGGTGAAATTATGATGGATTTATGTCAAGTAAATAGAGATTTACACCGGCAAATACTTTTTCCGGACAAGGCTACGTTTTGTCTCAATGGTACAGAGAACCGCCAAACTTGCAGGTATTGGAGTCGGGAAAATTTTCATTGGATGGCAGAGACACATACCCAATACCCACAGAAATTAAATGTGTGGGCTGGAATAGTTGACAACAGAATAGTAGGGCCTTTCTTCTTTGAAGGAACCCTTACAGAAGAAAGATATTTAGAATTTTTATAAAATGACCTTGTTCCAGCGCTTGCAGTAATTTCTCCTAACGATAATGATCTTGATATTCCTGATGACACCATGTGGTTTCAGTAAGACGGTGCACCTCCGCACTATGCGCGCCCTGTTCGAGATTTTCTGGACAATTGTTTTTCTAGGAGGTGGATCGGCAGACGTGGACCGATGGAATGGCCCGCGAGATCCCCAGATTTTACACCCCTGGACTATTTCTTATGGGTCTACTTAAAGTCCAAAGTGTACGTTAATAGACCACATAATTTAGAAGAACTCCAAAATTGTATTATAGATGAAATACACAGAGTTACCCCAGAAATAATTCATAATGTGCAAGAAGAATTTCTACACAGACTTAATGTATTTATTTGCTTGACATAGGAATTGTTATTTTTTTAATTAATAAAATTTACGTTTTCTAACATTTTTCCTTTACTCGAATACTTTCCTATGTAAGATGGCAACATTTTAATACTGTCGGATCGACAATGAAACGATATTTCAGAATCAAGAAAAAAATAGGGAGTTGCTATTTAAAAAAAATGTTCCTTTTTATGCTAAAATAAGTATTTTTTAAATTAAAAATCGACCTGTTCGAGGATTTTTCCCAAAAAAAATTTGTTTCGTTTTTACTGAATTTATTCCATACTTTAGGCGCGTACTATTATAAGGAGTGTCCCGGAAGTAGGTGCCAAAATTTTACCCACGTATTCAACTTATCAATAGCAACAACTTTAGTCTAATAAATGTTTTCGAAAGCTCACACATTTATCCGATATTTAGAATCCATTAAAATAACGCCAACGAGCTGACCATAGATTAACGAGAAATTTAAGTAACATATAAGAATGTTTTATGTAGTTAGTTCCAATTTTTGTTTGTTTATTATTTCCTCAACTAATTGTTTTGACTTAAGATCTAGTAGTGAGTAAGATAAATTAAAAAGAATTTTAAAAAAGATGTTCTTGAAGCAAAAATATTAAACAAGAGTTGCTGCTTTTTGCTGAGTTAACCGCATGATTTAAAGTTTAGCAATTATTCCTGAGACACCCTGTATAAATATGAACCTGCAGTTAACCAATTTGGCGTAACTAGTTAGATTAAATAAATCCGTGTAAATTTTCCTTTCAAAGGGATTTTTCAATGTGCAAAAAGTGAAAAATTACAATTTCGATTCAATTTTACTAATACAATTTTTATTATTTTTCATAAGTATATCTATGTTTATTAAAATAATTTGTATTCTAGTACGTAAATTTGTTAAATACGTTTACTTTACAAGAAATCGTTAGTAATAAAATCGTGTGTTAGCATAAAACAAACTTCGAATGAAAAAATGTTAAAAAAATTTTTTTCTCCAGTTCTGAAGTAGGATCGCAAAAAGTACTTATAGCGTTGAAGAAATTGGTGAAGGGCACATTTTTTTGAAAATCTATGTGGATACCGTTTCCAGACAAAACACTCCTGCACGATATAATTCTATTTTAAGCCAAAAAATGCCCTCTAATGCGGCAATTCTTGTTGAGAATTTGAAGTAGAAAGAAATAATTTAAAAGATATTACAGGAAACAGAAAACAATTCAATTTCCAACGTTCTGTGTCAAAAGTTTTTTATTCATCCCATTAATGCTTTAAATTGCTTAAAAAATACCCGTTTAAAAGAAAACATGTTTGACAAATATAAGTATTTATTATATTCTAGATATTGTTTTGTTGGACCATAAATCTGAGAAAGTAAATATTAATATATTATGCTGATAATTTACAAACTAGATTTTATTCTCCACATATTTCAATCTTACTTTCTGATTGCACGAACCACTGAATTATTTGATGCTGTGTTATATAAAACAATTATTAAACTACACGTATATAACAATATTTTAAATAAAATGCAATTACTACGTAATGAATTTACCAAAAAGAATACCTAAACTAATTATTATCGTAAAAATTTAATCTCACTTTGATATAGTGAAGCTAATTTATCTAAAATATAGAACGGTTAACAGACAATGTAAAACATTTAATTAACGAATTTCATGGCTAGACGAACAAAATGTGTTTTATATATGAATTTGTGCACATGCCTTTTTAACCGGTGGTTATATATCACATGCCAATTAGTTGAAACACACAGGAATTTACCCAATTGTTATTTCACGGAGTGAATTTAAATTGCAATTACAGATAACTGCGTCACTATCTGTAAATAATTTTATACAAATCTATCAAGACAGAATATACAGGGTTCACGCTAAGTGGCCTATTAGACGTTTCAGAGGAACCAAAGACAATAATATGACTCTGAAATTTTGTTTACGGGGGTTATCAGATATGTTCTCTTCAATGAAAATAATGCAATCAATGGTTATACCGGAAGTAACTGTCAACTTCGTTATTTTAAATGGAACACCCTATATATTATTGCATTATCGACAAGATAAATTAAAAATAAGTCAAAAATGTTAAAGCTTCCCTGTACCTAAATCTAACCCAGAAAATCGTAATTTTAAAAATATTTTGACAGATGCAAGCGTTTCGAAAATTATATCTTTCTTCGTTCTGAGAGCTGTCACTTGCCTTTCGGAGTGCACAAAGAACATAAGAGCATTTTTCTTTGGAGAAAATACTTGATACTTGTAGAATACCGAATGGCAGTACCAATATTTGCCTTTCAAGCCACATTTGATGATATTTTTAACATAACATTCTTGAGAATGTAAGTAAACCGCAAATAGCTGAGAAAATTGAAACTGTAACCCCTACAATGCCTATATCGATGAAAAGAGAATTTGATTTTCTATAATATGATGCAGAAAAATACAGAGTGTTCCATTTGAATTTAAAAGGTTTTGTTGGTTTCAAGTTTTCAAAATGTAACGTGAAAAATGAGACACTTAGTATAATTTTCTTCAGGTAATTTTGATAGCGGAAGGTAGTGCATCTTATGTTCTTTGTGCATTTCGAAAAGCAAGTGAAAGCTCCCAGAACGAAGAAAGATATAACTTTCGAAACGCTTGCATCTGTCAAAAATTTTTTAAAATTACGATTATCTCGAAAACGGTTAGATTTAGATACAGGGAAGCTTTAACTTTTATGATTTATTTTTAATTTATCTTGTCTACAATGCAATAATATATAGGGTGTTCCATTTAAAATAACGAAGTTGACATCTACTTCCGGTATAAACGGAAGTACTACGTTGATGGCATTATTCTCATTGGAGAGAACATATCTGATAACCCCCGTAAATAGAATTTCAGAGTCATATCGTCTTTGGTTCATCTGAAACGTTTAATAGGCCTCTTACCGTGAAGAACCTGTATATTTAGAAGTAAATAACTGTTTTAAAAAGCATAGTCCCTTATTAAACTATACAGAGTATCTGCAGTTTAAGTAACGTACAGAGTCTTCTTAAATGTTTATAAGCCACGTGACCGCAGGGGTGGACAACCCAACATTGCACGCTTGGTACTGGCAACGAAAATTCCCTAAATCTTGGCATCACCAATATTATTGATTAGTTTTCAAATGAACAATGATAATCCGTCACATCTACGCTCGAGATAATGCGATCGTTGATTGAAATGAGACCAATCACAGCCGGTGAAACAGAATGTTTTAATGTAATCTTGATCTTATTGTTTACTTGCCAACGTGAAAGAAATAAAATTACTGTTCCGAACAAAATTACTGGTCACGTGGTTTGTAATCATTTATCAAGGCCCTGTATGTTTAAAAAACAAAACAAAAATATTTTGTAGAAGATGGGTCCTAAACTTAACCGTTTTCGAGAAAAATCTTTGCGAAGCTCAAGATCAAGGTTTACAAAATAAAATTAATTGTAGTGGCTGAAAGTATTTTCTTTGAAATGTAATAATATTTATAATTTCTCCAAATATCACTTTCATCTGTCGTTATCAGTATGAACTGTTGGAATTCATTTTCGATGTTTCCTTGCTTTTAGTAAATAATATTAGAAAATGTTTGTATTTTTGTTCCAAGTGTGACGAAATTGAACAAAACACCCTTACTAGAAGGTTTGAAAAAATAAACATATCTGACATTAGGTTGTAGAAAAGAAATAAACGATACACAATAAAGTTAATAAGAAACCTTTCCGGACATCCAGCCCTCTAAAAAAAGGTGTTGTCGCTTGTCATTACCTGAAAACATGTACAATAAAGCCATTTTCTCCCTGACACATACTGTATCGATTTTTCCTTGATGATTCCCGAAAATCACCTTTTTTCAATCTGCAGAATGGCCTTACCACTTAAATTAGTAATGAGTATTCAGCACGGTGTTGAGCTATTTTTTACCATTTTCCTTCCCTCATAGAAAATATCCTATCCGGCTTGACAAACTACAGCACTCAGTAAATCCCGAGTATTTAACTTTTTCCGTCAACTCAGAGTAATGACGGGATCAAACGATGTAAGCCACTCAATGGACCACCATCCACTCGCAAAACACGAGACTAGCGATGGCCGAGCGATATTAATTAAAATTTTTTGTTCCAGTTCGACCTGTCATGTAAGAATACGAAGCAGAACTTGGGGGCCATGTTCACGCGAACCAACTACGTCACCCTCAAATACGTAACGGATGCTTGGGGAACGGATTCCAATGGCTTCAAGCTAGTCATAACGGCCGTTAAGGATCCCAGTGAGTAATAATAGTCGTTAGAGACGTAATGTGATTAGCTACAGGTTTCGCTTCCATTTGGCTTTCGCCTCTAAATTTGTTATTGGGACGTTAGGATTTGGTAGTGGGAATTATAGGAAATTTCGATAGCGAGATATTAGATGCTGAAATTAGGAGAACGTTAATTCATTTTTTTTATAATATATTACTAAAATTTGTATCTGCTACATTGTTTCTCGTTATACATATTTCAGAAAGCGTACAATTTCTTTAGGTTAGTCGCATATACGAGTATTTCAAAAAATGCCAATTAGGAGTTAGTTTTAATTAAAAAAATATAAATGGCGTCTTAGATACGTCATTTGCATTTCAGAATATGCCATGTGTATTTAACAAATGAGCAGTTAGATAATAATTATTTAATGATAACGATATGTAACCTGTGGGTTTATTTCTTTATTTATCTATCTATCGTTCTGACCAGTATCATAACGAGTCTGAATTTCACAAGAGTTTCCTATTTAATTCTCGAAAGGGAGTTTATAATTATCACTATACTTTAACTAATACGTGGGAACTTAGAAATGTTGTATGTTCAGAGAATGAATTTCAGGCACTTACCCCCTATTGCTTATGTAGAACGTAATCCAGTGACTGGCTATACAGGGTGACACTGAAGTTGAGAGAAACAAAAAGAAACCAAAACTTCCAGGAAGGGTTTTAATAGAAATAAACAAAACAAACAAACAAAATAACAACACAACGGCTCGAACAACATTATTAATTTATTTATTTACACGCGACAGCGTACCGAGATTCAGGGAATGCGCGCTTCATAGTAAAAATTTGAAAAAACTTTATCCATTATTAAATTTAATTAATTAGCCCGAGACTCTAAAGTTAATTAGACTAGACCGCTCAATGTGAAACTCGAGGAAGAACTGCTTTCCTTGCAGATCTTTCTCGATTTCGACACTTCGCTTTGACACGCCCATTTCTTAGGTCCAGATGTTTCGGTTCTTATCTTATTGGCGGGGACCTGAATATCGGGAGGCTTGGTATAACTGTACTAGGTTAATAATTACCTAATTTACTTGACTTACATTTATATAAGAACTAAAAACTAAACTGAAACTAAACTTACTTACAAGTAACCCTAGCCTTCCTCTAGTGACTCCGTGTAGCAATTACGGGGCGGATTAGTCAATCTCATTTAATATCTTCTTAATAGCTTGGAAAAGCCGCCGAAAAACCTACTATTGATCTGTTAGTTTATTTTCCCATTACTATCAATTTACAATTTGAATTAATTCTACTTTGGAACATCTACGCTCTTCTAGTGATTTCGCGCGTTACTAAAAATATGGGTTTCTACGCTGGTGCCTCCCAGACGCAACAGATGACTGTCACATGGTCCCGATTCTAAGCGAACTTGGTAAATTTCTCCGAAGGACGACGCTACCTACTTGAAAGCCCTCAACTTTCGATAATTTGTGTTAACAAAAATATTTTACTTTTTGGCCCATCCGTTCCGAAAATTAATAAATAAATTACTGCGCGTCCCGGCTTTTGTTACAGATATTTGAAATACAATTTCGGGTTAAACATTATTTTATTGTACTTTATGACGGTGAAGGGTATATAGAATGAAATATCAAAAAAGTAACTCGAAATAAGTGACGCTAAGTTGGCAAACTGCAAATTGTGGCAAAATTACGTATTTCTTCGACGACCTATCGGAAAATTAGTTATTTTATGTTGCAGCCAATTGAATTATTTACAATCTAAGGTACCTAAAGTCATATTTCATCAATTTGTTAATTGTAAAATAAAGGTCGAACACGGAAAATCAGTTTTCGAAAATTGAGCATTATTATTGTAAAAACCGATGGATGTTGATGAAATTTATGAAAACGACGGTCAATCCAATGACTTGTGTGCTTAAGGCTGATTCGATTGACCGTGAAATTGTTGCTTCAGGTATTTGTTAATTAATTTCGTCCGTTTTTTTGTTATTAATTGTTTAGTTACTAAACGTTAATGTTAGAAGTTAATATCATTGATATAGGTTCCAGTTGATCCAAAGAAACGTACCGAAAAAGGAAAATTCTGAAAAGTTGAAATTAAGCTGCTCTTTTTACAACTAACAAAGTAGGATGTGCAAAACAGCATTATAAATAAATTGTTCCAGGGTCAGACAAAAGACACATTTTTTGCATTAAATAGAGCTTATTTTTACGGTAATTAAAAAAAAGGGTCAAACTTGGGATGGGTCACCTTAAATATCACACTATAGGCACAATAGAGGTTTTGTTTGTGACAAAAATACTAGTAGCAAACGGACTGTGCCATCATATGAAAGACAGTCTGTAGATATATGCTTATATGTTTCCTACTCCAATTTAGGTACCATTAATTAATATATTATAAACATCATATGAGTAACTAAATAAGAGGGTTTTATTCTGTGTATTCTGTTGGCAGCAGCGGCAGAGTACCGCCATTTGTAGCTGGTGCAGCAGACGACACTCGGAAACCACAGACCATAAAATAATTAAAAAACTGCATTGGAAAACACAATTAGAGTAACCATTAATTCTACTATCTAATAGATGTCGCTGCACCATAATGGCGGTAAATTTAAATGTAACAAAATACACAAAATAAAAAGTGTTTCATAAATAATAGATCACAAAAAAGCTATTAATAGTTTAAGTTAATCATTGAAATTAACGTGAACCATTAACACCTGTTCCATGACCCATTACTTATGAAATACTTTAATTATCACTTAGTTAAATAAAAAAGTTAAAGCAGTGATACTTAAATGTATGACAAAATTCATTTTGTTATGAATTCGAAAATATTTAAATATCAAAAAAATGTACAGGGAGACTCTTGTAATTATTATTTTTTAAAGAAACCATTAAAAACTGCAAATTTTAAAGAATCTGAAAGAATTATTTACTCGACTTTATGTAAAATGCATTGCACAGTGACTTGACAAAAATTATGGTTAGATACATTTGTTTCGAAGTAATTGGTTTTCATCAGTATGATGTAATATACTACACTTATAGCAAATAACAATTTTAAACATCTGTTTTTTAAAAGGTGGAGGTGAAAAATCATCCTAAATTGAAGTTTGGCAGCTCGTACTATGAAAATCCTGTAATGTTACGTTAACAAATTGTTTTGCTGAATGTTGGATACTATCGGAGGATTCCTAGGTGATATTATTACAATTAATAGGTGAACTTGTGGTTGATCCTAAAAATAATGTTGGCACAGCACTACCTATTACTGTTTTTTAAACATTTTTTACTGAAAATGGTCTTCACAAAAATAATGATCTGTTTGTCGGAGTAAATTCTAATTTATATAATTTTCGAACTGATTCTATCCACAGTAATTGTCTGTCTTTTGTAATTCTGAAAAAACTTTTATTTCTATAGAACGTATTATACAGATATTCATATAGTAAGAAATGTTTTTGCAATTTGGAGCACAACATTGACGTTTAGTTCTACAAGGTAAACTCATTTTGGATTAAAAAAATGAATAAAAAACAGTAAGGCAGTTCAGACGATTGATTCAATAAATCCCTTATTATGTTAATCTAAAACCAAACAAATTTATTAATGTTTAAAACGCGGCAACCTACCTGAAGTCCTGAAGATAAACTATAACCTCAAACTTCTATTCTACTCTACGTTGATTGAAATATTTCAGTCAACGCATTCTATTTCTGTTGATTGAAAGTTTGGAAATACAGATTCGATCTGTGGTTGCAGATTTCTGTTTAACAATTTACATAAAGGACAATGTTTTGCTGCAACAATGCATGTTCGATCCGCTCTATCCAATAAAAGCCTCTTATTTAGTTACTCTTATGATAAACATTAGATAATTAGAAGCGAAAAAAACCTGGAAAAATCGAAAAATTTAGCCTTATTTTAAAAATGTCACCTTTCCACTCATAATTGAAGTGATACAACAGCGGTACTGTTCTGACACATATTATATAAATATTAGTTTTTGTAAGTAACAAATCGGTAAAAACAATGTAAAACTAGCACGACGCCACACAATTATTTACATATTCCAATAAAATAATCTCATTACTGATCTGAGGCTGGAAATCTGTTGGGTTGGTACTTCCGAACTTCACGAAGAAATTGACAAAAATTAGAACATGCTCTAATTCGTCAAGAACTTGATGAATAAATTCACGAAGTTATTTGACAGCAAATTTGGTGCATTACACTTGTCCAATTTCTTGATGAAGCGACTTCATGAATTAATTGATCAATAAATTGTCAATGTAAAACAGCTATTACAAAATGTACTTTTCTGTTTCAAAGAATACATATTTAGGTGTCCTTGCTCCGGAAATTTTATTACATTTTGTATATATTACCACTTACAATAATATTAAATTATACTATAACTAACAATGGTCCGACAGCACCTGCTTTGTGCACACTTAAAGTACATATAATTAACTACTTTCGTGCATAAGGTGCAATTTAAAAAATAGAGGAGTAATTAATTTTTTAAAAACGCCAAATTATCCGATTTTTCCGGGTTTTCTTCGTTTCGACCTCTCATTTTATTCGTATTTCGATTATCTACAAATTGTCTATAGCATTCAGATTGCTTCATTAGTTTAGGTTATATAAGCAAAAAAAACTAAAATAATGCGTTTTTTTACAACAAATATTTATAAAAAATTAATTAATGGTAAATTGGAATAGGAGACATATAAGCATATATCTACAGACAGTCTTTTACATGATGGTACAGTCCGTTTGCTACTAGTATTTTTGTCACAAAATCACTGATTTAATGCTTCTATTGCTTACTAGTGCCAATTGGGATATTGCCAACTTTGCACCTTTGTATCTTCTTTATTTGTCAAAAAAAATATAACGTATTTATATCAAAACTAGGGCAAAATTTTCCGAGAAATCGAATGATGTAACTAGTTTAAAAAAAATTGTTAATAAAAATGCGATTAA